GCAGGCAACAAGGGCAAGTTTATGTGACTGCAGACACTCTCTGAGGCTTAGGCTCAGGGTGCCTGGTAAAATGGTGTTAAAGGTGGGCACTGAAGGGATGGAAGGAGGCGGCCCCCTGTTGCCAACGATGTTGAGGAATAAACAGTGGCATACCGTCAGTGTCCCTGAATAGTGGCTACAACTGGGTTTTGGAGTCAGGCAGGACTTTAGCTCTGCTACTTCCTGTAAGGTCTTGACCAGCTTTCTAACCTCTCTGAATCTCGATTTCCTTGTTTGAAAAATAGAAATGAAAATATTAGTCTTATTGGTTCTTTTGAGAAGTAAAAGAGATCATTCCTGTAAAGCACTTGGTGCATAGGTTCACTCTCACCGCATTTAGTACCTGGCACACAGAGTGGACACTTGGTGAATAGTGACTGCTGTTATTATCAGCAGCAATAGCAGTCAGCATAGAAGTCTTCTCCAGGACCCACGTGCAGAGGAAGTGGGAATCTGAGGGGATCCAGGTTTGCCTGTGGGTTCCGTGCCTCTTACCTATCTTCTAGGTCCCTCTTGTGCCTCATTGCATCACTCCTCCATCCCCTGTCACCTCAAAATGAGGATAGAACCAAGGGGTGTTCTACCTTGGGCTACATCCCAGGCCTTTTTATTTTTTGAGAAGAGGGTCTCACTAAGTTACCTGGGCCGGCCTTAAACTTGTGATCCTTCTGCCTCAGCCTCCTGAGTAGCTGGTATTACAGGTGTGTACCATTGCATCTGCCTTCTACCTCCGTCCGGGCCCCAGCCTGACCTGGTAGTGTCAGAGAGTACAGAAGTGTAAAGCAGGCGCTCCTTTCTCAGCTCTGCCTTTCCCTGAGGGATGAACCTTTTAGAACCTCAGTCACCTCAGGCTTCCTGGAGCTGAGAAACCTCTGAGATCCTCCACGAAAAGCCCCACTACTTTTCCTGGGAAGAAAGCAAGCATTCGGCCCAGAAGGGAAGTTGTTGAGTAACAAATTCCACTTCCTCCGTGCTAAAGCTTTGGCCACACCCTCCCTCCACCCTCCCCCAACCCAGCGGCCCATTTCCCCTTGAAACTGAAAACAGCTGTCCTTTCCTTAATTGGCTTAAAAGTAAAGCACCTTGCATCATCCTTACTCCCTATGACTAAAGACCTTGACAAGTAGGTGACCCCCAGGCAGAGACCCTGCCTGCCGCCTTGGCATGGAGGAATAGCCTCTTGGTGGCCTTTGGGCCCACACCTCTTTCCTATGGGAAGAGTCTGCCTGCCACAGCCACGCCCATCCCCCAGGGAGTGATCTGCCCCATCTCAGCCCTGTGTGCCCCCAGCTACCCCAGCTGCTCTGGCTGCCCTCCAGCGCCAGCTGTCATCATGTGGCCCCTGGCACACATACTTTTTACCACCATAACTTGTCTTCTCAGGGTGGGGGAGGGGAAGGCTTACACTGGGGCAGGAGGAAGCAGCCTCTGCAGAAATTCAGATCTCTGAGGGCTGACCTTTCCAGGAAAGAATGTACACAGCTTCCCCGGGCAAGGTGCAGCTGAGCTGAAGGCCACTTGCAGGCCACTCAGACACATCCCAGTCCTGGGTCTCTCATCTGCAAAATAACAGTGGTGAGCTCTGATCCACAGGAAATGTGGCTACAAGACACATTTTAAGTGGTACTATCACGTACACACCCGTTATTTCTGCTGTCACCCTTCCAGGCCCTGAGTCCCCACCAGCTGCTTCCCTGCAAGTGGCCCTGCTTTCCTAAATATTCAGTAAAGGCCTCTGTGGGCAGCTGAGTCCACCCACCCTGGCCTCATTCAGCTTGCACCTGTTGGTAGGAGGTATTGGAAAACATCTATAAGAGTTTCTCATGCTCTGTGGCCTTTCTTATCTGCTTTATCCCGTCCCTGTTCCTAGAGTATAAAAGTTATTCCTCCAGGACTGCTCTGGGGCCAGGGCATAGACAGTCCCAAGAGCCCCAAGAGAGGACACACAGCTGACTGGCTCCTTGGGGCAAAACACACAGGACGTAGCAGACAAATCAATATCTGTGGATAGCGGGTGTGTGTGTGTGTGTGTGTGTGTGTGTGTGTGTTCTTTTTCTTCTTGTGAATCAAGCTAATTTTGACTTCACTGGAATCTGATAATGAACACAGAAAAGCAGCTGCCCACAGGAGGAGCCCAGAGTGCCAGGCAGGGCAGGGCCAAGCCCTGGGGAGGCTTTTAGGGAATGATTGGTGGCTGAGGGCTAGAGGGGGACAGTTGTAAAGGTCTCAGCTCTCAGTTCTCACCAGCCTGTCTGTTGCAGCCCTCTCTCTCCTCTTAGAGGCCTGGGAGAGAGCAACCATCCACCCACAGTTCTGCCTGAAAGGGCTGCCAGTCTGCCCTTGATGCCCCCACACTGCTGGGGTATAGCACCTCTAAGGTCAGAAACGCTGGCCCAGAAAGTGGCCTGCTGCCCCAGCTTATCAAATAGACCTGGAATCAGGATGGAGAAGGGGTTTTAGATCTCCCTGCAAAGGTCTAGAGACGTTTTCTTGGGCTTGCTCATTTTAGCAAGGGTTCCTCTTCATCCGGAATACTCCCAGGTGGTCACCTCATCATACAGCTTGACTTGTGCGGCACAGGCTGTGGGATCTCACAGCTCAGGGTTTAAATTCCATTGTGAACTAACTTGTTATCCGTGCTTCTTTCCTCATCCACAAGATTGGTTTCAAATAATGGAGCAATAGGCATAAAATGTGGAGGACTCATAAAATAGTGTTATCATAGGAAGGGACTTTACCCAAGAGATCTTCTGCTCTATTTCTACTGTCCTGAAATGAAGGTCTTTGACCCTGACACCTTTACGTTAGGCCAGTGTATATATAATATATGCATATATTATATACACATTATATATGTATTACATGTATTTCTTCTGATCTTTGGCTCTGCAAGAGGAGAATGCTCAGTATCTTCCTATGAATGATAAAGACTACACTAGTGCTTTACCAGCAGCAATAGGTTGATGACAGCCATCTCTGGGCACTGGGAGATAGAAGGTTCGAGAACCTTTTCACTGGAAGAAACCTTGGAGGCGCTTTTCGACCGATTCATTTCCCTTAAATAATACTGATGATCTCCTAGAACTTTCACGTTTATTATGTTACTCAGTCTCCCCAGTGATCCCATGAGTTGGCTGAAGATGATAGCAGAGAAGCCATCAGAGACCTGGATCTCGCACCCCCTGACTCCTGCTAGGAGGCCTTTGGGGTGAGAGAGGTTTTACCCGTCTTCGCCTGGAGCCACTCTGCTGAAGAACCTGAAAGGTGGCCCCAGGGGAGGAGCTCAGGGGCTTCACAGCAAGGCAGTTTAGTAATAGGTTGAGTCAGTGGGTTATTTAGGGCAGATACTGTGCAAGGAAAGAGCTGGCAGTGTCGAAGGTGGCTCATCCTTTTCACTCCGCTCACACTCCCATTTAATCCTTGACCTCCCAGTGTCAGGGCTGTACTCCACACTATTGCTGGAACCATAATTTAAAGAGTCAAGTATGTGACTCATCCCATCTATAAACAGGACAGTTGAGGTGCCCAGGGACAGCAGTGCTGGCCTGGATGTCACAAGAGCTGCCTGGGCCTCGGTGTTTTCTGTGCTGAGTCGGGAGGTGTCTTAGTCACTTTTCTCTCATTGCTAAGACAAAATACCTGACACCCAAAATTAGGGAAGGAAAGATTTATTTAGCTCACAGTTTGTCACCAGTAGGCTGCAAGGCAGGGTGGCACGTGGCAGAGGGGAAAAGTTTGCATCTGTGGAAGACAGCAAAACAAGGAGGGAGACAAGGCTCTTGGTGTCCCCTCTATTGTATGTAGGCTGCCTGCCCTAGGGCAGGGATAGCACTACACTCTTAATCACAGCCAGAACTCTGCCAAACTCTGATTTACTGATTGTACCCACCCTTAATCCCAGCATCACACACCTCTAAAAAAGCCCTCCGATCACATGAGGCTTTGGGGGGACATCTAGACATAAACCTTAACAGTGGGCTTGGGATAAGTCATGTGGCCCCTTTAGGTATCTGCTAGGGAACACCATCCCGCCCTGCTCACAGGGCAGGGGACAGCCTGTTGTCCCCAAACCTGGCTCTCCAGCTTGGTATCAGTGATAGAACTGTGGGGGACCGGTGGCGGCTGAAAAGATAAGAAGTATGAAATATAAAGGACCTTATTTTGAGAATTCGGGGAGAGACACCCCTGATCCCCTGGGGCGCGGCATCTCTCCCCAGCGATCTGTCCGTGGAACACCTGGAGTGGAGGCATATATGTAGCTGAGGTTAGGGGTGGTGACTGAGGGGGCATTAGGGATGCACAGGTGCCCATTGGCACTAGTTTGGCACCAGAGGTAGATTTCTAAGGGTGGGGAATATAGAGCCATAGGTAAATCCCTAGGGGTGGGGGGCATAGGAGTTCCTTGGTTTTACCGTCTACAGTGTCCTGTCTGGGCCAAAACTCTTTCAATCAGGAGCCAGGAGCCCCGGAAATTTTCTGGTTTTGACTTTCTGGTGTCACTGTAAAGATGTGGGACTCACTGTACCTGAGGTCCTCATAAGCCTGGACAGCCTATGATGCTCTTTCACCAAATAACCCGATTCCTTCCATCTTCTGTCACTTCAATTGGTTGGCTTTTTAAGACATCCTTTTAATGGCTTTTTGTAATTTAGTTCAACATTTTCCAAGCAACTGGTCCGTACTAAACACTGGAGTGGTGTGAGAAAATCCATGAGGCCTGAGAGGGGAGACAGCAGGCATATGGGGGAAGGAGGCCAGGGTCTCAGGAAAGCTTAGGGGAGGGCAGGGAGGTGACCCCACCACTCCCTCCAGGCCAGAGGGCTCCACAAGTAAACTCTGAGAAAAAGTCCATTTCCTCTGAGAAGTGCTAGAATATAATACGGTTTTCTCTTTCAGCACTAAGGATTGAACCCAGGAGTGCTGAGTTACATCCCTGGCCATTCCTATGTTTTAATATTGAGACAGAGTCTAAATTTCCTAGGCACCTGGCTCACCTGTAACCTCTAAGAACCAGGCTGGCCTTGAAGTCACTATGGAGCCCAGCTGGCCTCAAGCCCCTCTCCTGCCTCAGCCTCCAAGTGATGGGATTACAAGTGAGTACCACCACACCTGGCTAAGTAATCATTTCCAATAAGCTGAACACTGCACTAGATGATTTCAACATAATATTTTCATTCTTTGCCTGTCTTTTGAGACAGTGTCTCACTATGTGGTCCAGGCCAGCCTCAGACTTGCGGTTTTTCTATCTCATCCATCTCAGCAGCTGGGATTAAACCCAGCTTGGCTCATTTCATTCTTACAACAAACTTCTGAGTAAGTGTTAAGTCAATTTTACAGATGAACAAAATGAAGTTCACTGTGCTTAAAGCCACACATAGGGTAGATTTGAGATTCAAATTTAAGTCTGCCTGACCCAAAGCCCACGATATTTCCACCAGCCAGCAAACTGTAAGGGCACAACTAGCCAAGACTTTTATATTCCTTAGGGTCAGGGCCCTGCTGATTTTTCTGAGTTCACCTGGTCCTGCCCCTAGGCCACAGGAGGCTACTTTAAGACCGGCAGCCCCTTGCAGGAGGTGCTGTCCATTCATTTTTAATAGCCCAGCTGCTGTGATCATCCTGCCTCTCCATGGACTGCCCAGGAGTTTCTCTGCAACCCAGCCCTCTCACCGTGTTTGGGGCTGTCAATGTTTAATAGCATCGAGGATCTGATCTCAGTTACCCAAGTCGTTTAGATTACTCCTGTGCAGGAACCCAGGGGGCAGGGTGGGGGAGGCATCGGTGATGGAGCCAGAGGAGTCATTACTCTCTTCCCCAAGGGAGGAGAGACTAGGAAGTGAGCCTGGGAGGACACACTGGGAGGAGCAGAGAGCCAAGTGCATGTTTCCGTGGCTCCAGCTACCTTCTCCTCTTCCCTGCCACCTCCAGTGATGCCCAATGCACACAGTCCCTGCCCTCCTGGGATACCCTGACCCCCAGGAGAGGTGATGTGTGGATGAATTTCTGTGGGTCTCAAACATACAATGTATTACCAAAACATGAATAAATATTTAAATTAAAACTTTCTACTACAGTAAAGGACACATTGCTGTTAATGACCCTCAAGGCACCCCTCACGTCCAACACATGTACCTATCATTCTTGCCGCTTTCTGGAGCAGTTCTGGAAGTCCGCTTTGGTGAGTGAGTTTAGTCACATAGTTGTAGCTGCCTTGATGTCCTGAATGCATTCAAAATGTTTACCTTTCATCGTCCTTTTGGAGCAGCCAGATGTTACTGAGTGCCAGAGCTGGTGAAGAAGGTGGCTGAGCACACACAGTGACAATTTCACCAGCGACTCTGTCGGACACAATGGGAAGCACCATCACTGATCACATCTCCTAAAGATGCCTGTGGAAGGGGACTTCAGAACTGCTTCAGAAGTGGCACGAATGATGGGGTAAGAGTGTGTGAATTAATAGCATGTCTTTTGTTGTAATGCATTTTTTAAAATTTAAACATTCATTATATATTTTGATCAGCCCTTGTGGATATCGTTGGAGTCTAATCTGCTGTCCTCCGAGCTTACAAATCTTTGCTTAATTTCAGGTGTGTAAACACAGCAGTACTTGTGCCTCTTAACAAGGACCTAGAGTGTTCCGAGGGACAGGGGTATGCTGCAGAGGTCACACCATACAGCTGGTACCAGCCCGCCACAGCTCCGGAGAGCTGGGTGTTTCCACACTCTGAAGAGTCCTGGCTCTGAATACCCGAGGGGAAGAACAGGTACTTGCTTCGGAGCCCTGGGAATGCCTGAAGCACACAGTCAAGTTCTATTTGGGGAGTAGGACGTCACCGTCCCAGGGCAGAGGTCACTCGGTTGTTATTTCTGGACCTTATCTAAGATTCAGCCTCTGAGCTGAGACAGAGGCTGGTAGACTTGCTGCTTTCCCAGATTCCCCTCTGTCTTTCTTACATTCTGTCACAGCTCCCTGGGCTTACACCTCCTCTCTGTCCAGGAGCACCAGGAGGGACCCTGGGTCTCACGTGTCGCTCACAGCTGGGACCCTAGAGGCAGAGGGAGGGGCTTGGAGCAGGACAGAGGGCTCCCACCAGTGCTGAAGGACCCAGATAGGTTTTTAGCCAGGATGTCAGGATGACAGATACCACCTCACCCATGAGGCACAGTGGGGGAAGTTAAAGGGAACAGGGCTGGGTCCTTTCCCAGAAGACTTCTACAGATGGGACGAAGGCAAGGTGATTTCTCTTTATTTCATGCCTGGTTCAAATAGAAAAAAAGGCTGTCCGAAGGGACCAAAATGACCAGCACCTCAGACTAGTGATTACAAAGCAGACGCCAGCCTGGACTCCTGGGCTGGATTTTGCTGGTTGGACTTGTAGAGACTAGACAATGCTGATGATCAGCTCTGAGGCCCATGGAACTGGAGGCCAGTGGTGTCAGGATTGGGCAGGGTGGGGGTGGTGCCAGGTCTCTGCCCTCAGAAGCGCACAGTGCCCTGTGCATCCACTGCTGCAAAGTCCTCTTCCTTTACTCCAAACACTCGGAACAGAAGTAATCATAGTCTCTGCTTTGGAGAGTTTTAGAGGGTTAAGTGGGCTACCCAGGATGTTGAGGACAGTACTGAGGAAAGCAAGCACTCAGTGTCAGCACTCCTTCCGGGGGCTAGCAGTAGAGGTCAGTAGGTAGCTTGGCGCTAACGTCGAGCCCACTGCTGGCCAGTTCCTCATCCATGGTCAGTCCCTGGGGAATGGGCAGAGCGGCACACTAAAGGAAAGCCCTCTGCAGGCCTCCCTGTCACTCAGTCTGGGGCCTCTGAGTGTCCCTTGAGGGCAGGGCTAATGTTTCCCTCCTTAACAAGCTCTCATCCAAGAAGGCCTTGGGACAGGATTCACTCCTGGGCAACCGTGGGCAGAGAGTGCATTGTGTGCCGGACATGGTTCTAGGCTCTGGGAATGCATCAGTGAATAAACCTGAAAACCCACTCCCTGGGAGCCTGGCTTCAGTGTGGACAGGCGGGTCTGATGCTAAGCAGGACCTGTAAGTGTGGTGGGTACATCCCATGTCAAAGTGCTCAGTGCCAAAGAGGATCAGTGCTAGGGTGGGGCCTGAGGTAGTGACAGGGGTGGCTGAAACATGAGCAGGTCATAAGCTGCCCGGAGCAGGTCGCCGGCTGGGGAACAGCTCTTGTTTAGTGCAACCAAGCAAATCCAGGTGGATCTGGGTATTCAGGTGCCCAGGTTCCAGGTCTGAGTCACACCGGAAGTATGAGGCCAAGGACCTCCATGGGGAAGCATTGCTTTTCGGAGAAACCAGGTCTCAGGAGGGTAACACTGATTTTCCCCCTGTGGGAACCCCAAGAACACTGGACCAGGGGCAGCTGGGCAGTGTCACCAGCCTCCCAGCTTGGGGACCTCCACCGACTTTCTGGGTGGAAGCCAGGAGAAAGAAGCACTGGAGTCACCAGCCAGGCCTCCACGGTAGGCAGCTGGGCCAGGGCTGGAGAAGGCGGGAATCCAGACCCGGGAGAAGCAGGGCCGTGTTCTGCCCCTGAGTCAGTTCTAAGTGCCCAAGGCCAGTGAGGCCGCCTGAGGCTTTGGAGGGTACCGCTTCAGAAGTGACTGCAGTCTGAGCCCTTCCCAGGGCGCCAGAGCACTGGACACCAACCTCCTATACAGAGGGGAAATGGACTCTTCCAAAGCTTTCCAGAGCTCATCCACTCAAAGAGGTGTTTCCCGGGCACTTGTTTAAGTCAGGCCTGAAAGTGTAGGGGTGAACAGGATATGTAAACCTCCACTCCTTCGGAGCTCATGTTCTGTTGTGGGGATGGAGATCAAACAGGATAAACCACAAACCTGTGCCTCTATTAATGACGAGGGATAAAATGAGAGCATAAAGCAGAGATGGAGGATGCCAACAGTGAGCGTACACCAGAAATTCAAATAAAGTGGCCAGGGAGGGCTGCACGGAGAAGGCAGCCTTCGAGCGGAGACCAGACATGTGGATTCTGAAAGAATAGAGTAGGGCATAGCGGTGCATGCCTAATAATTCCAGCATCTGTAGGCTGAGGCAGGAGAATTCAAGTTGGAGTCCAGCTGGGCTGACTCAAAAATTTTAAAATTCAGTGTGAAGGCTCTATTTCTAGTACCAAAAAAAAAAAAAAAAAAAAAAAAAAAAAGAATAGAATTCCGGGCAAGCTGGTTAGCAGCTGGGATGTAAGACACGATTGGCTGTTTTACAGGAGGGCCTGTAGGACCCCAGCGTCTCTAAGACAGCGGAGCCTGAGGCCCTGCAGCTCCGCTGTGGAGACCCTGTCCACTCAGCTCTCCCCAGCTCCACTGTCCCAAGAGGCCAGTGGCAAGGAGGGGTGAGTGCAGAACTGGAAATGCCAGGGCAACCACTGTAGGCTTCCAAGGAGCTGTGGGGAGATCAGATCAGCCCCTTTCTTCTGAGGGGCACTGAGTGTGAAGTTCCTCTGTGTGCAGGTGCTGCTCCTGGGAGACCGGCTGGGGATGGTACTTGTTTCCAGGCAGCACTGGGCCTGTGCATGCTGGAGTCTCCCTTGTACCCTGAGGGTGTCTTGCTGGGATCTCTGAGCTGCTTTTGGCGCCTGTCTCCTCCTCCCCCATCACACAGGGCGTTGGCCCCAGCTGGCAGGCAGGATCTGGGCAGCCAGGACCCCCAGTTCTGTCGCTGCTGTGAGTCCTCTTCGCACTGTGCTGGAAGGAAGAGAGTTTAGCCAGACAGGAAGCGACCCTGAGACCCAAGGGCCCACTGACTCCTCAGTGGGGTGCGAGGGGGAGGTTTACTGGAAAACCCCATCCATCTCCACCAGCTCACAGACCACTGAGGTCAGAGGCAGCAGAGAGATGAAACGATGACTCTCATCCTGTCCAGCTCTGTGGTCCTTCAGGTCACATTAATGCAAGGAGAGAGACAGAGAATGACAGAAGGAAAAAGTACACATATGCACATACACACAGGTCCCTGTGCAGGCTCTGTGTATGTCTTCCTTATTTTTCTTGTTACTGAGACCAAATATCTGACATCCAAAATTAAAGGGGAAAAGGTTTCAGTGGCTCACAGATGTAGAGGCTTCAGTGCGTAACCACTGGCTCCAAGGCAGGGTGCACGGCAGAGAGGCACCACAGAGGAGAAACAAGGGCAGCAGATAGCAAAGCAACAAGGGGGTGGCCTTACAGCATTTTTCTGTTCCTTTTATGCTCTATCTAGGCTACCGGCATTAGGGAAGCCCAAAACAATCAGTGGACCGATTTAGTAATCACACGCTTTTCATCCCAGCATGGCACCATGAATCCACCTACACTCAGATCCAGCCCCCTCTGAAAAAGCACCACCAATGACTGAATGAGGCCTCGGGGGGACATCTAGACATGAGCCGTGACAGTGTGTACAGGGCACCTCACTGATGTAAGTACTCACCACGAGCCTGATCCTGCAGGAGCCCCAACCTCGGCTTGTGAAGCTAACTTTTTTGTTGTTATTAGTACAGAAAGATGTAGTTTGTTTTGGTGAACCAGCATAATCATTTAATATATTGCAATCTTTTTCTATCCCGTTACTCCCGCTCCTCACCTGCACTTTTGAGGAATTTGTTTACATTATCAGTACACTGTAGTTACTCACTCAGACAAGTTCTCTGAATTGAAGTTAATGAAACCCAGCACCAGGGTTGGGATTATAAAACAGTTGTGAGATGTGTCATGCTTCAAATGCATCCTTTTTCTTTTGTCTGGTGCTTACCTGTAGTTCAGCTACTCAGGAGGCTCAGGCAGGAGGATTGCATGAGAGTTCGTAACAAACCTGAGCAAAATAGTGAGCCCCACCCACCCCAACCACCAAAATACAAACCAAAACAAAAAACAAGCAAGCTTGGGTCAACTATAACTCTGCAACCCTGTGGGTAATTCACCCCAGTTGACTCGTGAGGAAACTGGACCGTATAAGGCTAGAAATCATGCTCAAGATGACACACCCATCTTTTGGGCAGTAAAGTATGCAAAGAATGGACCCAGCATGCCGATTGCACCCAGCCTCGGGAGAAGACTGTCAGTAATGTGGCAGCGCATGGGCTTTCTGGGCATCTGAATGTGCAGACTGTGGTCAGCAGGGCTCAAGGGAATGATCAGGACTTGTGAGAGGACCCCATGCTGGCGGAGCAGAGAATGCGCTTACCAGTCAGTGATCAGTCATTGTGAACCTGCTTTCTGCAGACAGGGAAGTCACCTGCTGCCTGCCGTGAAAGTTACCCTTGATCCACATCTGCCCTCACCCGGTCGGTGTCCATGAAATCCTCTCTTGCTCTTCCTAGCAGCTCTCTGGGTCCTGCTATGATCATTTCCACCCATTGGGGAAGAAGTCAAGGTGTGATATCTGCCGGGCATGTGTAGTTAGGAACTGGCAAAGCTGAGCTCTCACTCAGGCCTGCTCCTGGGCCGCTCAGCCCTGCTGCTCCATCACATGCCTCTGTGCCCAGTGCAGTGGGTTGAGAAACCCCCTGAGAAGGCTGAGTCTTTCTTGCCCACTGTCTCTGCCCTGCCACGTCTCATCAGGAAGGAACTGACTGCTCGAGCAAATGCCCAACACCACGGGCTGCAGGTGTAGCCCAGGGAGAAAGTGCTTGCCCAGCACACACAAGGCTCTGGGCTTCATCTCCAGCACCACAAAGATGAAAAAATCCAGCCTCTGGACCCACTCACACTAGCCACACACGATCCTAGTGGCATCCTGTCTGCCTGCCCCTACTGCCATGTGCCAGGCTGGCATGGGCTGGACCTCTGGAGGCTGACCAACTGGGTGATCCGAGCTAAACAACAGAAGCCCCAGACCTGCCAAACTAGGACAGGCCTGTTGCTTCCACAGGCTTCTGCCTCAGCAGGCCAGGGCGGGAAGGGGAGCAGAGGCCACCTGGGATCCAGTTGGATCTGGAACTGAGGATGTACAGTTGCAATCCTTGGCTGTGTGTCCTGGGACAATTTACTTAACTTCTCTGACCTTCTGCTTCTGATTTGTCTCACAGCACAAAGGTTTGTTAAACCACGGGTGAACTGTGACATGCTTTGCAGTCGCCCTGAGTTATCAAAACCACTGTGTAAGCCTTTCTGGCCTGCTGGTGCCTCAGGGCAGGACTCACAGTAGGACCTTCTCCTGTCACCTGACTGGACCACGCCCCTGGTTGCTTAAGACCTGGGGAGATGTTGCCTCTTCTGGGCCTTTGGAGTCTGTGGCCGCCTATTCCAAGTCAGAGTTTTTCTTTGGGGCTTGTCACTGTGAGGTCACTGCTTGGCACCGTCCTGAGCCGTAGGCTCCTTGTTGACACCCCAGCATGGAAAGGAAGGTGGCACAGTGGCCCTTCAAACACCAGGGGAGCCTGGGTACTGGGAAGGGAGGTGTCTCTGGGAAGCCTCACCAGCCTTGTCCCTGGTGGTGTCATTCTGCAGGCTCCTGCTGGCTGCAGCCTCCCTGGGTGGGCTGGCATCATCCCCCACCTTAGAGGAAGAGCTCTGGGCATCTGGGCTGGGACTACCCTTTTCCCTCCCCCATTTCCCTGCCCTCCCCCCGGCAGGTGACAGGGTCAGGGTAACTGACTGGCTTGTAACCACCTGCCCTGGGGAGACTGCTCTCCAGGGATTGGGCTTGTCTTGTTTTGTTTTGTTTTGCCTCTTGTCCAGGACCTCAGGGTTGTTTGGCAACGCCCCAGCGCTTTCCTCCAGCTAGATAGGTGCACAGGGTTTCCTTCATATGCTGACTGGCAAGAGCCCAGCCTACCTGGAGCCCAGGAGGGTCCACCCTGCTGCTGGCCACAGCACCCAGAGGTACACTGAGAATTCCCTGAACACCAACACACACTCACCCTGCACACACACTCCCATGCACTCACGTACCCAAGGGAGCCAGATGGCAGGAAATGGTGACTGGCTTTAAATAAACACACAGCTATTCAGACCTCTGGGGACTGGGTGCCTCTTCTGAGCTGAGACACACCTTGTCTGCCCGAGACTAGACCTCCCAAAATAGAGTCCTTGCGCCCCCTGCTGGTGATATTTGGGACATTCACCAGAATCTCAAGACTAGATCCCGTGGGAAACAAAGGAATAGGACATTTACCATTCTCCCTTGTCTCCTTTTATTCCAGGGGAGCCACGATGATTTCCCCAGAGGTAGGAGTCGTTGCCCTATCATGTAGAAGGAGAGGTGGGCTCAGAATTAGGTGAATCTCTGGGGATCACACAGAAAGTTGGGGTAGCACTGGTGTTGCTTGCATCTCCACCAGCCAACACCTCCTCCTGTCACATCCTCCTGTGGATGGTTGACCTTGGCCCTTCTGTGTTTTCCATGTGACCTCACTTAGGGAGCACCCTGGGCGAAGGTGGTCACAAAACCCCGGGGTGGTGGGGGTTCCCCCACTATTGAGTGCATGTCTAAAAGTCCAGGGTCCTGTTATAGGAGCTCGGGTCTAAGACAGGTAGCGTCCACATCTTGGGGAGCATGAGGGTTAGTTCGAGTCATTCTGATCCATTCTCTAGGCATCTTCCTAGATTGACTTTGAGGAAACCCCAAAGCTATGTCACACAGGAGAGGGCTTCCTTTGAGGTAGCCTCTCTCCCCTGACCCTGCTGGGTGGGGAAGGCCCCGAAGCCAGCTTCCTTCATGGGTGAGGAGTCAGTCTTTCACACAGCGAAACCCCTTGTTCCAGCACCATGATTACAGGACAAGGGTTTGCCCAGCCAGGCTAGGCAGAGCAGCCTCTGAATCCCAATTTAACCAATGGGTGTTTGTGTTACTTTGGGAACTTGCTAACCTCTCTGCTACTGTTTCCAATCTGTTGGTCAGCACGAGGTTGTACAGGAATGAAATGAGACAGGGCAGTCACTCCAAAAGTGACAAGGACAGGGAGAGCGGGAGGATGCATGTGACATATTTTGCTACAGATGGTAATTTTACTAGAAAAAAATAAGAAACTATCTTTCAAGTTATATTAGCAAAATGTTAGCTTTGAGTGAATTTTAAAGAAGAAAGATAAGACTTGAAGAAATAGCTGGTTGCTGTGTGTTTTGGTTTGGGTTTTTGAAACAGTGTCTTGCTTTATAGCTCAGGATGGCTTCAAACTTCTTTTCTTCCTGCTTCAGTCTTCCAAATGTTGGGATTGCAAGCTTGCACCGCCCTGCCACTTGACATGTTTTCGTTTGTGGTCACTTTGGGCTCCACTGTACCGTTGGGGGACAAGGATCTTCTAGCCATGGATCCCTCTCAGTGCCTCTGGGAGTTTTGGATAGAAGAGTCGGGAACTCTGATGTGTGTGAATAGCCAGCTGCTGCTGGAGCCTCGCCTTAATCCATCTTCACACCTCCATCACAGGCTCAAAACGAGACTTTCCCCCAAGTGAATCCCAGCACTGTGGGCCTTGGGCCCCAGCAACGGGACAAGACTTAGGGTCCAGCGAAGACTGAGTCAGAGATTCTGCCATGCAAACTTACTAGCAGCCTTAGAAAGCCAGCCAGGATGGGAGGATGTTCTGTTTTCACAGATCCCATGGAAGCAGACATGGGGTTTACACTGCTCAGAAGCTCTGATCAGAAGTTTTTGGTTGGTTCTGGGAATTTGGGTGAGGCCAGCATTCAGACCTTGGCTGCAAGAGCTGGGGCCACATTTGACAGCATGACAGCTACCATGGCACATTCCAGAATATCTGGAGATGGCAAGTAGAGCGGGGAAGCTGTGTGTGTATGTTCCAGGCTCTGGGCCAGATGCTGTCTTTGAGACTTCAGTTAATACAACCTGTTTATGGTAGGACAACATTGTCTCCAAGCATAGAAAGGTCATAGGACTTTCCCAACACCACACATTCAGTGTGGCCAAAACTGTTAGTGGTCACTCCAATAACATTCTCCTATGTTACTACTAAAGAAAAGTGGAAACATGGCTGATAAAATTTGTAGACTGGAGACTACATTTCCCAGCCTGCTATGTAATCAGGTGGGGTCATGTGACTGAGTTCCGCCAATGGCAGTAAATGGAAGTGTCATGCAGCACTTTCTGGGATCTTCCTTAGACCACAGCTTGTGACTCACCCCTGTTGTACTACTTGGCAAGCAGATGCTATCTTGCACCACAAGGATAAGGGCAATTTGATAAAGGCAGAATAGCAGCTATTGTGATTTTTCTGCTATTCTTGTTCTTGCCTCTTCCTGAGATGCCCAAAAGGGATTTGACCTGGAGCTTCTACCTTCATGCTTCCCCGCCGCAATATGAGGTTTCTGGAGCATCTGTGTGTACCTGTGGTACCTCATCAGCTCTCAGATGAGAAACACTGGTCATCACTGTTCAGTGACAGCAACAAACATTGCATCATAGGTAATTTCATTATTTCAAAATGACTGTGAAAAGTAAATGCTTTGAATCGATTCAGGACACTGAGGCAGCCATGGACAGTACAACTAAAACA